GTGTGTGTGTGTGTATGTATATATATATACATGCGTGTGCGAATATACGTACATACATACGTATATATATACACACAAACACATGCATACGTATATATATGTATATATAGATATTTCCGTTGTAACATTTATATATTTATATGAAACTTCATTCACAGGTAGCATTCGCGCCCTCCAATCCTAAATGGTCACTTACAGCGTCGTTTGTATCGTATTTTGAGGAATTTGAAGAGGTGATCGCGTAATCGCGCGATTGTTCAGAGGTAATTTTGGTCAAGTGGTTTTCTTCATCAATAAAAAGAGTAACATGTCGAAGTAACAATTGTACACACGTACAGTCAAATAATATAAAAACGATAATAGAATCTTGCTCTTCAACCTGCGCTTCTACTCATCATATCAAAGATATGTCTCAAACTGCACATTGAGAAATTAAGTCGACTCACATTTGAGATATTGCTTTTGCATCCGCGTTGATTACGTTATCAATACAGATAAACTCATTATGGATAGTTGAAACAATGCTACTAAAAAAAGAAACAGGCACATGAGAGAAATGAACAGCAACTCCACTATATTATAAAAAAAAAGTATGAATTTAATAATTGCGTTTGTTTACCACGGTATGCATAACATTAAAAACTCTCATCAAGTAGATAACAATAACCAACAACTAACAATCGTAGGCATTCACGCAAAAATAGAAATATGTGTGTGTTTAATAATATATAATAATATTATCATAATTTATATTATTGAAGTAAGTATGATTCTTCCTTTATGGTTTCTAAAGTAGTAGAGTAATTCGTATCAATGATTGGAGCTGAAAATGTCCAGCGAAGTGCCAGGTATTTTGTACGATATCCGCGAAACGACGAAATACGTTCTGTCACGTTACTTAAAACGATGAAAATTAACGTTGGAATACGAATGTATTGCACTATATTACATCCCATTGTGATCATTTGACAATTTTTTACAAAATTGTAGATACGTATGTAAATGTGTATCTATTTAACCTATCAAACAGATTCACATACAATATCTAAATATCTTAGGTATTTATACCTAAAAACTGTTTCGATATTCACGCGAGTCGAGTCCCAACGTAATATAAAACGTGATATAAAACTATGAAATTTTGTCCATTTTGCATGAATAGAGCGTCATTAATTCGATTCTTGGAAGTAGAGACAGAGATAGGGATTGTTAGAAAAATATATATCTTATATGTTGTCTTTATATGCTGTAATATATAAAGTTTCGAAGGTAACTGGCAGAATAAACACACCTTGTCTCGTATGAATTTACGAATTCGCTGGTCCATCAGCTCGAATCATGTGACACATTATTCTGTAAATTACTAACAACGAGAGTAGGGTTCTATCTTAATTCTGTCCACGATCAGTTAATTCTTATTCTAAATTTATAGAATTACATATTTCGCGCGCATGCATACGCAAACATCGGTTCTTCAAGAGGTTCACGAGAGCTCTTATGCGTCCTTCTTCGTTTTTTCTCTTGCATTTTCTTTTCCTTTTTTTTCTTTTTTTTTCACCTTTTGCCGTGCGTCAAACATTCCTCGGGAAAAAACAAATCTTAATGCCAGTAAACTCTATAACAGAGGAAAATGTCTATTCTCTCTCTCTCTCTCTCTCTCTCTCTCTCTCTCTCTCTCTCTCTCTCTCTCTCTCTCTCGCTCTATATATATTTCTATTTGCTGCCATATCAAATTTGTACCAAACACAAAAGAGCATATTCCAGCGCTGCAAGTGTTTACTACGTGTATCGTTAAAACCTGCCTAAAAGCCATATAACATCGTACGGCTGCTAATAAAAAATGTCGAAAAAAGAAAGAAAAAAGAACCTAATAACTTGGAACACTTTGAAAGTAAATACTTTGTTTGCACATTTGAACTTTAGTTTGTCGTAATTCCATTACTTCGTTCACAGTACTTCGTCACATGCTGCTGAACTAAGAGAGGGGCTACCATGCATATTCAATATGAATCAGTAAGTTTGTTTATATACTCTAGAATACAAAACAATAAATTATTATTAATGCGCGCGCGTGCGCACAAGAGCCGCGCGTATTGATGCAAGTATGTGCATACATCTATATGCAAATTATGGTTCTTTTGTAAAATAACGATCCGAATCAAGGCAAAGTTGGAATGTAAAGATGCCCGAGAATTCGCTAATATAGTCTGCGTCGTTGTCGAACTCGCTAGGAAGAAGAGAAAAAGAGAAGGGAGGGGGGAGAGAGAGAGCGGAAGATAACAAAAGTAAAGTAAAGAAAACATTTTAGGAACTTGCGCGCAAATTCATGAGACACGCGATTCGACAAGGATGCAACATCTATCTGTCTGTCTGTTCGTCCGCCCGTCCGTCGTCCAAAATAAGGATCGATCGTTGGCTGTGCGGTATCCTTGTTGTGATGGCACGACACATGTCACAGACTAAAGAGGCAGCGATTTGTTATTAACGATATTTGTAAGGATTTCTATCTATCCCCCTATAGCTTCTCCGCGTATGCGACAATGAGCACACATGTTGATATCGATAATACCGCTGTCGATCATTCGATCCACCGAATGTCGGATCCTAAATTTTCATCCATCCTTTCTTTTCTTTCTTCGCAACGCTTTACTGCCGATTTTTTGGATAAAAATTTTTAACCTCTTTTCGGTAAATCGACAACAGCTGTATAAGTTGCATCTAATCGCGATGCGTACACATGCTTTTACAGCAACACACACACACACACACACACGCGCGCACGCACGCACACTCACACACACTCAGAAATGCATACATACATATATACATATGTGCACGTGCACACACACGCGCGCGCATCGACGCATACCACTGCCGCCACCATTATCACACATATCGGTCAAAATCGTCTCCTTACACTGGACACGAGAGTCGTTAAATTCTAACGTAAACATAAATAACGAGACGCGACGGGAGAGAGGGGGAGATAAGGGTGGAGGGGTAGCGGTGAAAAGAAGTAAGTAAATTCCATCTCACTTGGCGCGCGGATGATATTCTGCGGAAAAACGCCACAGCAAAGATAAGAAAAGAAATTGTTATACGTCGAATGCGTACTATTATGCTCTTTTGTCGCCGTCGCCGTCATTGTCGTTGTCGTGGTCGTCTTCTTCTTCTTCTTCATCTTCTTTTTACAAATCGGTGTGCCTCAGGACGCGGCACACCTTCTGCTCCTAAGGATCCGATTGCGACTCCAGCATTTCCATGAGGAAATCATCGATCGGTGGGTCGCCAATTACGTTGAAGAAGAACAGGTGCTCCTGGCATTTGAGACCGATCGAACGAATGGATGGCAGGCGAAGCAGCAACTTGGCAAATCTACCGGGATCGTCTGGACAGGACACACGGGTGTACTCCTCCAGAGCGGCGTAGATTTTTTCGCGCAGCAGACTGACTTCTTGGATGGACTTGAGGCCTCGCACGTCGGGATTGAAGAGAATAATGGATCTGCGCGATAATCATATACTACATAATATAGTCAGCACTTGGATATTCAATAAAACAAAATGAAGAAAAAGAAGTGAACTGAGCGAAGAGCTTGAAATTCTTGCCAAGTCTCGGAAGGGAGAAGTAAAAAATAAATAAACAATGGGCGATTGATCGGGTATCCTTGGTCGCTCACCTAAGACATCCGAGCTCGGTCCTGTCCATTTTCATTTCGCGCATCTTCGACACCAGCTCCGAGAGCACACGATCGTATATCGTGCTCACGTCCGCCTGTTGCGCTGTATTTCGATGCACCGTGGTGCCCGTCGCCAGAACGATACCGTCCTTCACATCGATGGAACGGTGGGAGAAGGCGGCTATCAGCAATTCATTCCAGCCTGCCTTGAGCAAAAGCACCTGATCCTCCAGCGGCAACGACGTAAAGTGCGGGATGTGCTTCGCCCATGCCACCAGCTGGAACAGCTGTTTTTTCGTAGCGATGCAAAAGTGCGAATTTGCGTTCTGCGCATCACAGAAGATGCCGTATTAGTAGGAGCGATTCGTTTTCGTTGCGAACAAGAGCGAATCAAGCGCCGTTCCACGAGGAACCACCGGAGGGCGATGTAAAGTTAACATCGTCGAACGTATTCTTCGTAGAACGGCGAATGTACTCTGTATAAAAATCCTGATCAAATTTCATTCGGAACTCATCGCGTTCCGGCAAAAGCTTCGAGAGTTTGTTAAGGAAAGGACTTTGTCCCGACTAAAAGTGTGCGTTCGCATTATGAACCGCGTCTACAATCGCAAACCTCCTTTACATAAACGTACTCTAAATAGTCGTTCGTTTTATCAACACTATATCGTTACTATCAATTCTCTAGAAACTCGTCCTTGATTTTTGTACGAGCGAGCAAGTGAAAGAGAAAGATTACGCCTAAGCACGCACGCCGCGCTTTCGATCGAGCGCGAATATTTACCTCGTAATTTCCCTGGTGTTCGATCTTACACTCGACCCGTTTCTCTGCCTCGAGGATACGCTCGATCGGCATGTCCGCGTGCAAATTGCTCGTGCTTTCCACTTCGCTCTGATCCCGCTCCTTGGTGCGTTGACGCTCCTCCTGCACCGCCTCCCTCTTCATACCCATCGTCAGGCACTTCTGGTACCGGCAGTACTGACAGCGATTTCTCTGTCGCTTGTCGATGATACAGGACTTCTCCTCGCGGCAGGCGTACGACAGATCCTTGCGCACGGTCCGCTTGAAGAATCCTTTGCATCCCTCGCAGCTGAAAGACGAGAACTCTGTTCAGACAAGCGCGGCGGCGACGACGCAATGACGACGACGACGACGACGACGACGACGACGACGACGACGACGACGGCGACGACGACGACGACGACGACGACGACGGCGACGGCGGTGGCGACGGCGGTGGCGGCGGCAGTGGCGACGACGACGACTCGTCGTGTGGTGGCATTATACTCCGTTATGCTGCAGTTTCGCGCAAATTACTTTTTCATCTTTTATCGAAACACGTTACTCGCGTACTAAGCAAATTACAATCTATAACGCTCGCTCTAGACGCGACGGATCTCTCAGAAAATCTCTTGGACGCCTGATTAGATTATTACTTTCGGAATTTACGTTTCAAAGAAATATTTTTTCTTTTTCTTTTTTAATAGTGCAGGCTACGGAGAACAGTGACTATATTATACGTCACACGTATGATAATTAACACGCAATCTCTCTCTACACGACGTTCGTGAAAGATGCGCATATGTACACGTGTGATAGAGAATCATGATTCATAGTTTTATTTGATTCAGAATTGCGACGTTATTTTGCTACAACGTTATATTGCGAGCATTCCATAATGATACAGCAATGTTGCTCAATTTTCCCAATTTCCGATTGAATCACATTATTCATGGCAGTCAAATTATCGCTTGTTCTTTGATCTTTAAAGTCCTCTTTCTCTTGGAGACTACTGTATTTAAATTTTTCTTTTTGAAATTCTCTGTTAGAGGGATGCGGGATCGGAATTTCAAGACGGCAACTCGTACCGAAGTGGATTAACACTGCTACGCGTATACGATAATTATTGCGCTGCTAGTTTGCGGCGTAATGTGAACCACAGCCAAGTATCTCGTATTTCGCAATAGTACGACGACTCGAGCCCGCCAAACGATTTGTGTTGGCACTTTTCTCACACCAGTCTCACCACCTCTACAACCTTCGCTCATCTTCCCCCTCCCTCCCAAATGTCCTGTCCACAGCTAACTTACCCCTTCCTCCCCCACTAACCGCATCACGCTCGTTCCCTTCCACCTTCTCCCTCTCTCTCTCCAATCATTACATTCCACCATCATTTTTCTTCCTGGCTCGAATTCTCCCTGTCCCCACTCCCCTCACTCACTTCCTTCTTCATATCCTGCCCCTCTCTTCCCCTCTTCACCCGATTCTTTCTCTTTCGCTCTTCTTCCTCACTCTCACTTTATCTCTCTGCCCTCATCCTTCCTCCCTCTCCTTTCCTTATCTCCGTTCACATCCTCCCACTCATTCTCTCCCTCTCTACCCTCTCTCGCTCCCCTATCCCCCGCAGCTTCTCCCCTCCTTCCTGCTCTCACTTTCTCCTTTGCCCTCGCTCCCTCCATCCCACTTTCTTCGTCTTACTTATGTTCTCCAACCCTTCTCCCTTTCTTTTCGCTCCATCCTCTTCCTCCCTTTCTCACATTCTCGCTCCCTTCCCTTTCTCGTGTCCGCACCACTTCCTCACTCTTTCTCCCTCAGTCTTGTTCATCCTCCCGCTTGTCCTTGCTCACTGCCTCCGCCACTGCCTCCGCCGCTGCCTCCCGCACTCTTTCTCTCTCCGTCTTGTTCCTTCCTTCGCTCCCTCCCCTCCCCACTCTTTAACTCCCCTTGTCCTACTTCACCTTCCCTCTCCCTTCCTTCCTCCCTCGCTCTCTCTCTCTCTCTCTCTCTCTCTCTCTCTCTCTCTCTCTGCCTCACACTACTTTCCTATCTCCCCCCTCTGTTCAACTCTTATTTCCCTTGCGTTCGCTACCTCCCTCTCCTGTTCTCTCCCGCTCCCTCCCCCACCCGCCTAATCTCTCACTCCGGTTCTTTCTTCTCTGTCGCTCCTTCGTTCTCTCTCCTCTCTCCGTGCATCCTTCTCTTTCTCCATCGGTTCGCTCTCTCCTTCCCCCAGAGTTGCGCTAAACAGCGCTCTCCGCACACCACTACTCCCCTCTAGTCCATCGCCACTCGCCGCTCGACGCTCACTTAACACAATGTTATGTGACTTGAACGTCGAGCTAAGAGCTAAGAGGGAATATAGCGCGCACTCCATTCATAGTATCACACATTCATGCTATCATTCATAATATAATCTTCTTTAATTAATAACTGAAAATTTTACTTGGTTGTTCGCAAAATGGTAGAAAAATCTTTTATTCAGCTTGACTTTATCTATATCCCGTACACAGAATGAGCACATTTTATCAGACACATGGTGTAAAGGAATCGATTCTCGTGTCAAACGATAATACACTATTCGTTGTAAACAATAACAATGCTATGTTTAAAGTTGTTATAATAGTGTTTTTATTATTTTTAGTGATTTAAAGAGTATCTTTATTTTCTTTTGCTTGTACGAGAGTCTTCAATATTTTCGCTGCTGTATTTTATGTCTAGAAAGCTCGAATAATTTTTTAGTTCTGGCGTCATCACTCGACTTCGTTTGTCGGTCGAGCTGCTCGCGATCGTCAACTATCCGTGAGTCACGGCCCGCATTCAGGGTCGTCGTTTTTAAAGTTTTGGAACGTCTCCAGAAATCCCGTTGGTGCCAGAAAAGCAACGGCGAATTCCGCGGTGGATTTATTTTCGCCACGTATATGTATTCGCGTATTTTCGTGACGGGTGCGAACGATTCCGCGGGAAGCTCTTTTGCTTCGCGGTTGACAACGAAACGAGCGTCACTTATCCTGAAACGTCCTATCTTACCCGATGAAACAAACAGTCGCGTTAAATCCCTCTGTCATCCGCTACAGCGAGGCTGAATTAGAGTTGCGTTAACAAACACTTGCTTTTCTCTCACGGATACAGAACTTCATTTTGTAGCGCATTAAACGAAAGTAAAATTAATTACAAGTGATATTCTTCTGTTAAAATTACGTTTCTTCAATTCTCATCTTTCTAACACATCTGTCTTTTCGTGAGGATAGGGAGAGAGAGTGAGAGAGAGGAGGGGAGGGGGGAAAGAGAGAGAGAGAGAGAGAGGGTGAAGGCGACACTCAATCTTTGGAAGTCTGTCTTAATTGCACTCTTGGTTAGGTTAAGTTAACGCGTTGAATGCCGTGGAGGTAATGAGTAATCCGGTGCTGCAACACCGATGCGTTTCATGTTGATACGTGTGTGAAATACAGTCGATCAAATGAGTACAGCGCTAATGAGTTTCTTCGTTGAAGATCGCGTTCTTATTCACCGTAAGTTGCAAAGCCGATTCGATTTAACAGCCTCTGTTGCGGTGTGAAATGCGATACGCGTTACTCGCATGTTGACGATTGTAACGGTGAGGTGCATTTATAAAACGCCTTTAAAACGACGCGAAAGTGAATCAAGAAGCGCCGTCAAGAATCGTCTGGCTTACGAGAATGCTGTCCGCGTTGCCGTAAAATCGCGAACGGTAGACTGACGCGAAGACAAACGGTACGGCACGGCTAATCTCGTGGATTTTGCGAAACATCAAAATATCCCGTCTTCGGGGAAATGCGAGGACTTACGTGTCGCTAATCGAGAAACGGGACACGTCGTCGGGGCTTACGAGACACGAGCATATGATGCTGTAATCTCGAGTACGATTAGGTAACGTTTTAGTAGTTTTTGCTAGGGAAGAAAATCGGATCTTGCGAAATTATTAGAGAAATTACGCCGATAAAACTTGAGAGAAGTAGATTTACACTAAAGTATTCGTAAAACGTGCAAAAATATGATGGCGTTTTATATGATAAAAACTCTCGACATTTTCGCGTCTGAATAAATTCCGCCGAAACAATTGATTCCGTATGTCGCATGGCACGATCGTGTAGACCGCGAACGCGTGTTATGACAACACAGCAGAGATTCGTTAATATCTCTGGATTTTTTATCAAGATATGTGGGCAAGTGTTTCATTGCAACGAAAGTCACTACGACATTACTCGAGAAACTGTCGCGATGAAGAGATGATTGTTTCCAGAATGTAAAGACAAATTTGCGCGATTAAAAGCGCGATTTCAATTCGCGCGGAAATCGAAGACGTATGCGACACGAGGCAACACGAGAGTGCCAATAGAGCAGTATCGCTCGCGCGAGATCTTTAAGATGCAGCGCAACACGTGATGCAATTTCTGGACCACCGTGGCAGCCGTTTGATCTCGCACGGAGTTTATGCGAAAAGTAAATATTCATGACGCGAGACACGTGTAGAGCTCCGCCGCATCAACGCTACCGCTAGCCGCAGAGTTTGATCTCCCTCTATCGTTCTAGCCGCGAGAGGAGACCTTCGGCGCGCCATATGCACAAATAACGTGTCGGCGGCGTAGAAACTGCAGCACGCGATGTGTTGTACGATACGGCGTTTCATCCGACCGTATTAGTGCGCGGGATATTCCGCCGAGCGGAATGGAAATTTAGCGGAGCACGATGATCTTGATCAAGCAGCGACGACGACGACGACGACGACGACGACGACGACGACGACGACGACGACGCTGCATTGTTCTATTTTATGCGACTACAATCGGAATAATCCAATTGCGATTTTGAATTATTAAATAAATCTCCTTTTCTTTCTCTCTTTATAATATTGCCTTTTTCCTCCTTCGCGTTGATATTGCTCAATACCGAAATGAATTTAGAGAAAAGCCGACCGCTTCGACGTCGCGAATTGCCATGAAATGAAAATGAAGTGACTCCGCGACGGCGAGATCATCTTCCAGCGAGATTCCGAGATGGAGCTGAAGTACTATGCTCTCATATTATGCGCAGAGAGAGAGAGAGAGAGAGAGAGAGAGAGAGAGAGAGAGAGAGAGAGAGCACACCGTTGCGTCGCATTTATTCCGTGAGAAATGGACACGTCGCTCGTATGTCGTACACGCGCGAAAGGAACGCGAAAATAAAAGTCTCAAGCAGTGTGCCTAAGCGTGGCTGCGTATTTACATCGGCCTCGGCATTGTGTGCGTTATTACTGCAATTTATGAGCGAAGGCATTGCATGACAGTTATGCATTACGCTGGGACATTAACATGTCCGAATATTAGGCGAGACTAGTTTTTCGATCGAGCTGGCAGTGACCGCTAATTATGCGCTGGGGAGCCAACGTACGCACTATAGTGAGATGGATACAAATTGCCTGGCTATTTTTAATGAGATTAATTAAGTTCTCAGGTATACCTGGCACGTCGCGAGTCGGACCGACTGCGAATCGACTTCCTTCGTGGCATTTTTCGCGATACAACGGAATTATGCGGGAATGAGATTTGCAATCTCCTCAAGGGGAAATCCTTGAACAGGGCGGAGGATATAGACGGGTGAATGTACTCTCTTTTTACGCCCTATAAAAGTATCAATTTACGCGTATTTTCTCTCTCCCTCTCTCTTCTTTCTTATAACGTTTTCTGCAAGGTTTCATACTTGTTGTGACATTTTCGAAGCGATGCAACGCTAAAATACGCCAAAATACGAAGGAAAAAGATACGAGGAATTCTCGATATTAAAGAGTGAATTTTTAGAAAAATATTGTATTAGTTTCTGAGACGCGGAATTTGCAGGGTTAGTGTAACATTTTGACTCTCTCTCTCTCTCTCTCTCTCTCTCTCTCTCTCTCTCTCTCTCTCTCTTTGGCTAATCGAAGACGTTGTACCGAACGAAGAAGGATGAACAGCACTGGGTTAAAGGGTTAATTAGCCGCCACTGGAGCAAAGTGCCTATATAGCACGAGAAGGAGCGAGGAGGAGCGAGGAGGAGCGAGGAGGACGAACGGCCTCCGCTTGTAGGAACTACGGGTGGGTAGTCGTCCCAACCTCGCGAGCCCGCGGCAAGCAAGTCCAAGGTTGACGGGGCTCTGACGCAACGCGAGCATCGGATCTGCTGCAGCTCGGTGCAGCGTGCCATAGCACGATAGGAGGAAGGGCGAGAAAGAGGGGACCCCGTGACGACGACGCTGCACATTGGCTTGCATTTGCAGCTCCGCGCACGTTTCACGCCTGCAAGTAAGACCCCGATCGACGTAGCGTGCATGCGCTCGTTCGCGTTCCGCGGTAGCTTCGCGGTATTGAAAATGGCTCGATTCGACTCACGGAAATTGGAACGGGATTCATCCCCAACTTTATCGATGTAAACGAAGCAACGCATCAATAAATTGCATCAAATTTGTTGACTTTACAAAATCATATCTATATTTGTTTCTCTCGCAAAAATTACTCGATCGTGCAAAAAAGTATCCGTCTGTTTTTTATGTCAATCTCATGCCGGATTACAGAGCGGATCGAGCGTCTTTATCGGGCAAGTACGTTAAAGGGACTCGAGTACATGACGGATAACCTGCGATGGGATAAGTATTTCGACGAGACCCTACGCGTCGTAATGTTACTTTCGTCGTTTCGCCACGCTAACTCTCGGTTAAATTAGAAAGTCGACATAAGTTTTAATTGGATAAGTTACCTTGAGATTCCAACTTTCGTGTTTGGAGCTGTTTCGCGAAGCCACCGGGGGAAAATGTTAACGAGACGATCTATCGTTGTAATGTAATTTGGAGACACTCCCAATTCGACGTTGTAATTCATGAATTTACAGCGACCCTAATATCGTCTTGCGCGACTCACGATCGCGCCTTAATTGTGCCTTTAAATTTCGATTGTCCAATTTGCTCATTCACAGCTTCATTCGCAAAAATTATTAATATCCAGAGAGTTGATTGTTTTCAATATAGATCTATGTATATTTTCAACGTTCTACTTTGTCGGCAGAAATGAAGGAGTAAAGTTGAGATACATCTGAGAGGGAGGAGAGGCTTTGAGAATCCGCAAGGTACAGATCGCGACAGAACGGAGGGAAAATAATTATCGTACACGAAAATTAAGGTATAACGCGTCGACGACGGCAAAGCGAGTCGTTTCGCGATAATTGCAGATGTCGCCGTCGAATGTCGCTGACAGGGTGAGGAGTACGGCTATTACGAGCGACGTGAATGTATCGCGGTTTACGGACAAGCGTCGGCGAGGAGAGAAGGTGGCGGTTTGCGTGTTTGCATAAAAGTCATCGCAGATGTTCCTTTCGGCGTGCGTTCTCGTTGCAGACAACGTGCACGCAACGCGACCAGAGCGATCGCGCGCAGCTGCGACACGAAAGACGACGATTCGTGTTCCCGCCGCGTGAACACGGTGATGGAAACTCTTTCGCACCCACTATCCTACTATCGAGTTTCTTTTCGCGGCGGCGGCGGCGGCGGCGGCGGCGGCGGCGGCGGCGGCGGCGGCGGCGCCGATGACGACGACGAAGACGACGACGCGTGTTGGTTCGTCGACATTTTTATTATTCCGACAGTTCGACGCACTGCGCGCGCGATTATGCAAACGCGACGCCGCGTCTGCGACTTTTCTTTCTTTTTTCCTCTTACGTATGCACGCGACTATATGAACAAGTCTCTGTTAACCGTGTATCTATCCGACGAACGGGTCAAAGTTTAGCGTTTGATTTCGCGAAACAAAAAAGCAGTGTATACGCAACCAAGACCACTCAAATTCTAAAACTAGTCGAGAAAATCGTGTCGCAATTTGTGCGTGTGAAATGTGTCCAAATATCTGACAATTTTGGGGAGACGCGAGTTTTGGGAATACTCGAATGTAATTTTGGCAATGCGATTGAAAGTTTGCAGACGTTACACTAACGTTAAACGTACAGAAAGTTAAAGGCACATACATCCTTCGGTATCCACGAACAAGTTAATCCTCCCAATCCTTCGACACGAGACGACCGCTCGAGACTTATCGAGCGCTAAATAATTGAGGAAAGGACGACGGTTACGTCGTTCCCCAGTTAGTGTCGCTGGTTGCTGCAGCGATGAAAATTTCTCTCCAAGACTCCGACCGGTTCGACTTACTTTACAGCAACGAATATACGAATATACTCACGTAGTGGTCGTGCGCGGCAGGTCGTGGAGGTTACGGATAATTGGGAGAAACAAAGCGTTTATCTGTCAGTTTTTATCGTGACGCGTTGCTGTAGGTAACGAACGATAACAAATAATGTGCGCACAGGCGCGCATTATTATCGCATTCCGGAGAATTACTCGTCCCCCTTAACGAGGGTCAGGATTATCAAGCGAATCCGAAGGACCTTGAACCGCTCGTTTACAATGGAAATGCCATCTGGCGCAAATTCATATTCGCGTATCGTCCCTCCTTTCCTCGGCTTTCTACGTTCGCGACGCAAAGAACGACAAAACAGTAATTATTTCTACAACTGGTGGTAGAGAGAGAGAGAGAGAGAGAGAGAGAGAGAGAGAGAGAGAAAGAGAGAGAGAGAATATTCAAAGCGACGCGCTTCAAAGATTTGCCATTGCAATTACAATATAACGCCGATTACTCTCTCTCTCTAGCGCGCACGCAAAGATTGAATTTGCATGACAAATACGAAGGAGAAATACACATTTTTACGTCTGCGAAATCGGATACGCACTATATCTTTTCCTACGAATGTATTTGTAAATTGTTCGCGAAACATCTTGTACAAAGTTCCGTAGCCAATAAATACTCATTCGATCCTTTATATAAAGACTTCTATGAAACATGAAGAATCGAAAGAGACGGCAAATATATTCGATAACATCGCAATATTTTACGTAATTTCTTTTACGTTCGCGAAAAAATATCTAAAACAAGTTGACACATTGGCGCACCGCACGCACCACATGCAAATACATATATACGTCGTGTGGCTCAAAGTATCTTGGCCGCGTTGCTTATAGCTAATACATAATTATATAATTACATACAACTAACTATCAACTCACCTGTAAACGCCGTAATGTTTGCCGCTCGCGCGGTCGCCGCAAATCGAACACAGGTGTTTACTGCCCGACAGAGGGTGATTAGGTGGATAAGGCGTGACCGTCTTGCTCTGACCACTGGGCGACGTACTCAGGAGGTTGCTGTGACAACCGGCACTGAAGGATCTTACAAGGAGAAAACAATAAATCGACTGTGGCCTGATGACATTACTCGAGTCGAGTCTCGATTTATAGTATAATAAGGTGAGCGAGACAAAGATAAAAATCCAATTTTGCTAACAAAGGAAAGAAACACTCACCCCGGACTATTAGGACCCGATGGACTAAAGTTTCCCGGATTGATGAGTGCCGTGTCGGGCTTCATATCGAGGGGACTCTGCGGGCCCACCGACGACATCGACATGTTACTGTCTAGGCTCAGCCCTGCAATACAAATCGGATGCATTTTCAACGCCAATTTTCGAACAGACAGACAGTTGATCATTGACATTTCATTCTCGTATTTCTTGCGCAAATGTCGAGCGCAAATTTTTCTTCCTTTCGATCGTTTTCTTTTAATGGTCGAAATGGCGAGTAATTATGGATGGCCGTCCGATCGCTCTTTGCAACGCGCATCCTTTCTAAAGCGGTGAAAGGATAGCAGTGGACCAACGACTCTCGTTTGTGCGTCTTCCGCGTCCTTCGACATTCCTCTCACGCTATTATCGAACGCGAGAACAACGCCTCTCGGTGGATATTGACTAGTCACATGGATTGCATTGTGGCGGTTTACAGTTACAGGAAACGAAACGTGACGCGGCCACGTGTTTCGATCTGTCGGTCGGTCGGTCGGTCGGTTGTCCAAACGAATCGCCGCGGCTATTCTCCGTAGACCGAAGAAACCGACCGAAGAAAGTTTTCGCGCGCGAGTAGTCCGGTTTTGCCCCCGAGGGTCAATCACAGTCTCGCGCGATCGATTGGATGCGAGTCGCTCACGCGGTTACAGGTGTATCTCGATATAAGAGAGAAGGCGCTCTGAGGGAAGAGGAATAACGTGTAACGCGTCGAGTCGAGCTGAGAGTGATACTCCGTCATTAACCGAGCAATTCTGTCGTCTGTCGGAGGAGGAGCTCTTCTCTCCTCGACCTCGCGAGAAGGTGGATTCTTTCCCTTTCTCTAGGGGGGAAGATCGAACGTCGCGTGCAAGTATGAGGTCTCTTCTATTAAATGTAATAGTGAATACTGAGAAAATCTGTAAATTAAGTATCCGCGACTATCAACACTATGCGAAGAAGCCGGAGATTTATGCGTCTGCAGGGAGAGAGAGAGAGAGAGAGAGAGAGAGAGAGAGAGAGAGAGAGAGAGAGAGATGATTCGCAGATACCAAGCATCTGTGGTATGCAGGATCTACACTCCGCATTGACAGAAAAGTAGGGATCCACAAGTCGTACGAAGACGAGAATCTGGATGAGTAACGACGGAATAGTATATCGATGGAAACATGTGCTACACGATTCTTGAAATTTCAATGTTTCAATTCCAAACGGTGTGAAGAAGAAGATTGAGCGAGAATCTCCTACAGTTTGAAGGAAAAATTCTAAAAAGGAAGAAACGATCAAGGAATTTACGAGTTTAGACGATCTTTGATGAAGTGTTTCCAAAGCTCTACAGAACACTATGATTGTGAGGCATTTAGGACATTATGGGTTCTGTGAGAGCGAAAATTTGGGGGAAGAAATTGTCACTCTGTGAATGCGAGACCTCAGAGTAGCGTTGGAATTCTGACCGACATCGCCGGTCCAATATGAACGCGACGATGCTTCTTCGGGCATTGAAAGCACGTTTCGCAGATATCGGCGAGAGATTATCCGGACAGAGACGAGGCCGCGTGACAAATGATCTTCCACAGCGAAGATGCGAATCGTACCAAGGTGAATGAAAAGAAATATGCGCGATGAAAACGGTGCTGTATCTTACACATTTCTGCATGGTAGTTTCACTCAGAATTATGGGAAATTATGGGACTCTTATCGTCATTCGTTTATTGGCGATTTACTTGTTGGACGAAAGAGAACCTGATATTAAAGAAATTGGTTCAATGTGGAATTTTCATCTCTATCGACTGAGAAACAGTTTGTTTCGTAGTAAAAAACAGCTTGTATTGTCGTTTATTGCAAGCATTGGAAGAGGAAACGATAAAAAATTAATGTTTTATTCTACCTTGGTTGTCTTGTCAACTCACTCTCTCTCTCTCTCTCTCTCTCTCTCTCTCTCTCTCTCTCTCTCTCTCTCTCTC